CAGTTATTTTCTTCACAGTATTTATAATATCTGCAGTTACTTCAACATCAAACAGGTTCATATAGCTGGTCTTAAGAGTTTTTTTTAAGTTTCTTGTTTGGTATTTGTGTATTTCATATTCCTTTACTAAACTCAGCATTAATAAATAAAGTGATTTCTAATTTAGCTTTATAGACTGTATTATTTTCCTTATAAAACTTTTCTGTAGTTAAAATGAAGTTTATCATTAAGAAGCAGATTGTACTAAAACTGCTGTGTAAGTTATTACTTTGTTGTAGGATAATAGTATCTTTCAGTACTTTATATTATTAGTGTTTTTCACCAGGTGTGCTGCAAGAATTTTTAAAACATGCAATATCTGACTGTTTAGTCAGGGGCACTGACCTCTTTTCTCTTAGATTGTCAAATGAAAAATGACAACAGCCAACACAGCAATAACCATCCAGCATGAATGAATCAAAATTACACCTGTTTTGGGTTTGTTTGTTTGTTTTTTGTCAGATGGGCAAAAAATATATATTTGATGTGTGTCACAGAATTTTAGTAATTAGTTTATGTGTGCCATGAGATGAAAAAGGTTGAAAATCACTGCTATCTATCTATATGTGTACATGTATTTATATTTATATATATAGAGAGAGAGAATATAGTATTTTACCAAGGACATAAGTGTGTTGAAAGAACATATGCTATAGTAGATTTTAAAATAGTATTAACACCATTTATTTCCTGAGATCTGTGGGCCAGGTAGGAATACTTACCGGTAAATACTATACTTAAGAATCTAAGGTTTTCATCTTTACATTCTTATTCATTTCCTTTTTCTTGTTCTTATTTTTTTCATTCATTTACTTTTTGACTTTGAGTCATTTAGACTCTTGTGACTTAATTTTGTGATATACAGTATAATACTTATTCTACTTTCAACAAACATCTATTGAATAACTACTCTTAAGATAATATTGGCTGTTGGGGCCTACGTTAATATAAGACAGTTGTGTGATCTGGAAGATAAGTGTCAATAGATAATTACAGTACAATGTGATGAGTGAGAAAGGCACTGGTATTTGTGCTGTACGTTATTCATTCAGTGAGTCACTGATTAAATGTTTCTGAAGTATCTAGTTTGTTCCCAAAGGGTAGCACATAGCTCCTTTTCTTACAGGCTATAGGAGAGTCAATTTTACAAATAGATAACAGTAGCGTGATAAAAGAACACAAGGAAAATGGTCTTGGGGTGCATTAGGAAGTGATTAATTTTGCTTTGCAAAATAAAGAAAGAATTCCAGAGGAGACAGTAGGTGACCCTAGGCTTGAAGGGTTTACATAAATGAGTCAGGCCAGAGGTAGAAAGGTATGGCGAACAGAAGGAATTCCTTATGCAAAGAACACAGGAAGGCTACTACTAGTCATAGCTTTGGGGTGGCTTCAAGTACTTGAGAGATGGGATGTTTGTGGGAGATGAAGCTGTCAAAGTAACCTGCCATGCTACAGAGTCGGTGCTTCATAAAAACAACGGTCTATAGCGGCACCATCCACAAAACTTTCTGTGATGATGGCATTGTTCTCTGTGCTGTCAGCTACTGTAGCCACTAGTCCCGTGTTGCTATTGAGCTGCCGAAATGTGACTTGTGTGTCTTAGAAATTGGATTTTTGAGTTTTACTTAATTTTACTTATTTAAATAACCACATCTGTGTTTTAATCATGTTTTTTACTTTTTATATTTTATGATGCTTTAAAATCATGGCCTCTCCCAGGACCAGTTAATTCCTAGAGATAATAAAAAACTTGCTTGTGGAGATGACCTTTCATATGCAAATCAACCAGTCTAAAGACTGTACCCCTGTATCTTAACCACTTATTGTTTCCAACTCACCAACCAGGATTTCTCCTGCCCTAAATCACCCTAGGCCAGGTATGAAAAAACCAGGGACCACCCCAATAACCTAGAGCCCGCTGATATCATTCAAGGTACCCAGTCCTAAACTGTTCACCACACCCTACCTTGCTGTTTCCTGGAGACCACAGTAAAGGCTTGGACGCAAGCTTTCCTGTCTCCTACCTCCTGATCAATCCTGGTACTTTTACATGTGTCTTGCATGTCCCCTACTCTTGAGAACTGTAAGTAATAAATGTTACTTTGAAGGCAGTTGTCTCTATGTCATCTTATATGTGTTTAAAACAAAATCTTGGGCCCTGACCAGGTGGCCCACTTGGTTGGAGCGTCATTCCATACACCAAAAGGTTGCAAGTTCCATCCCCGTGTACAGGAGGCAACCGATTGATGTTCCTCTCTCCCTTCAGAAATCAAATACATACATACATATATAATCTCAGGTGAGGGTTAAAAAAGTTTTTTTTTTTTTAATCTTGGGTACAAATCAAAACCTTATAGCTAGTGACTACTATATTGCACAGTACAGACCTATAGAGGCCTTCCCCCTGCCCTACGAAACAGTTGTCATTTCCAGAAATTTAATTACTTCAAAGGATCTATATGGAATGTCTCCACTTTAGTTATGAGAACAAGCCTGACAGATAAGATTCCTACTGAGCTTCAGATTCTTTCTGATGACTATTTAGAATATTGTTTCCCCTCGAATTTCTACTACATAGTGTTAAGTTGAATTGGCAACATAGTTTTTCAAAGGAGTCACTGCTAATTTTCTTAGTCACTTAAAAGCTAACATTTATTGTATATCTTTTATGTGCCAGGTGCCCTTATGGGCGTTAGACATATATCAATGGGTTGTTTCATTTAGAACTCATAATAAACCTTTGGCATCAAATTGTTGTATCAAAAATAGTTTCATTTTGGGCCCTGGCTGGCATAGCTCAGTGGATTGAGCGCGGGCTGGGAACCAGTGTCCCAGGTTCGATTCCCAGCCAGGGTACATTCCTGGGTTGCAGGCCATAACCCCCAGCAACCGCACATTGATGTTTTTCTCTCTCTCTCTCTCTCTCTCTCATCTCCCTCCCTTCCCTCCCTAAAAATAAATAAATAAATAAATAAAAATCTTTAAAAAATAGTTTCATTTTGGAAGAGTTGGTATTAAGCCAATCTTTCTTTCAATAAATAGTTATATCTGTAGAGTAAGTTTTACCAAGAGAAGAACAGATAAAATGTTATGGGTTGGCCAAAAAGTTTGTTTCTGTAAGATGACTCTAGTAGTGTTTAGTTGCCTTTAACTTCATTCGAAACAATTTTGGTAGGTTGTATTGTGACAGCTGTCATATCAGCATGAATTCAAAAAAATCAAAATTGGTGAATTTTTGTGTAGTCATTTTAATACTGAAGATGGAAGAAAATATGTAACATTTTTGGCATATTATGCTTTAATATTTCAAAAAAGGTAAAAATGCAACTGAAGAGCAAAAAAAATGTGCAGTGTATGGAGAAGGTGCTGTGTGACAGGTTGAATGTATAAAAAGTGGTTTGCGAAGTTTCTTGCAGGAGACTTCTCACTGGGCATTGCTCCATGGTCATGTAGACCAGTAGAAGTTGATAGCGATCAAATTGAGACATTAATTGAGCACAATCAATGTTATACCAGGGGGCAGATAGTTGACATACTCAAATATCCAAATCAATAAAGTAATTGGTAAAATTTGAAAATTTGTATTTTATTTTACAAAAAAAAACTAAATGGAGTTTTTGGCCAACCCAATTTATATGTTAGATTTGATTCATGGTGATTGAGAACAAGCTTTGGACTTACTGTCCTGGACTAAACCTGTTTAAGCTACTATTTACCCACATGAAAAATGGTAATAATAGTGGTACCTACTAAATACAGTTGTTGAAACTAACAAACTATTAAATGAGATCATAAGAATTATATTCTTAGCATAGTCTAATTCATTATCATTAACATTTATTAATATGCCTTGGCACTTAATCTTCAGTTTTTCTCTACTAATCTATTTTTACATAGTGCTTAGCAAGGTATCAGGTAGGCCCCCAGTGAAGCATGTCAAATGATAACTCTTTATGGACAGAAAGGGTTCCTTAAAGAGCCCAGCAGAGGCTGCACACCACTATCTAACTGTTCATATGTACATGTGGAAATATTTATCCTAGTTTCCTGGTGTGTTTGTCTCTACAGGCATAGGGACCATTTCACTGATAACAGTTATATTCTCTATGCTTCAAGACAGTGCTGTGTACTAAAGAAGGCACTTAAAGAATGCCTGTGGAGCCTCCACCAGTGTGGCTGAGATGGTTGGGCATTGTCCCTTGGAAGAGAAAGGTCAAAGATTTAATGCCTGGTCAGGGCACACACCCGGGTTGCAGGTTATATTCCCAACTCAGGACAAGTGCTAGAGGCAGCCGATCGAAATTTCCCTCTTACATCGATGTATCTCTCCCACTCTTTTCTCTCCCTTCCCCTCTCTAAAAATAAAGTCTTTTAAAAAAAGAACGCTATGGAATAAGATGTACCTAACAATGAGAACATACAGCATATGGAAATTTCAATTCTTTAACATGTAGCTTCTACACAACATTTAGGTGTTTCTTTAGGAATCAGTATGCCTTACCCCAAAATGTAAAGCATCGAAACTAAAAGAGATGAAAACATGTTCTCTCTGAAATTATATATGAATGGTAAAATAAAGATATTCAATTGTATGCTTTTAGATATGGTGGAGATACTTTTTAAGCCTATAAAATATATCACACGTTGAATTTTATTTATAATTAGGGGTCATAATTCCTGAAATAAAAATAAACACAAATATACTTAGGAAAATGACAGGATATTTCATATAGGACCTATATCTGAAAATTTTATTTTCCATTTCACAAGTCTCAAATTAGCCTGTAAATGAAACAAGGTGGTCCTAGGTAAAAGGTGTCTTGATTTACTTATTCATGGTTTTAAAGATGAATAGTTAAAGTGAGACGCAAAGAATAATTAAGAATAAGCTCAAAGATGAGACATGATATTTGAGTTGTATTGCAAGAGCACGGCAGACTAACAAATCTGTCCATGTTTAGTTTCAGAATGGCTTCGGTTACTGCCTTTCCTCGGTGTACTTGCACTACTGGGCTACCTTGCAGTTCGTCCATTCCTCCCAAAGAAAAAACAGCAGAAGGATAGCTTGATTAATCTTAAAATACAAAAGGAAAATCCCAAAGTGGTGAATGAAATAAACATTGAAGATTTGTGTCTTACTAAAGCAGCTTATTGTAGGTGTTGGCGTTCTAAGACGGTAAGATGACCATTTACACATACACTACAGTTTTGTGTAGTTAAAATGTTTGCCGTCTGAAATCCTCAGTTTTGAGGTTCTGTGAGATGAGCAGTTCTTCCATAGTGTTCAGTACTGAAAGTCTGTGTCCTAAATTAAAGTTTGCCTTTTATGATCCGTACCACTTACATTAGAAAAGTTAGAGCAACCAGGAAGGATAGACATCTGATTTTTTTGTAGGACCATGTTTCAGCAGTTAGCTAGAGTAACTTGTAGTTTAAAAATTCACCTATGTTATGAGAGGACATAAGGGTTAGTGAAGAGTTTAAGCTTTCGAGTCTGAATAAATTGTGTTCAAAGCTGATGCCTGCCACTTACAGTCTGACTTTGGGCAAGTTACTTCATCTTTAATCTTTGATTTTTAAATCTGATAATATAGCAACATCATAGACATTTTCAAGGATTAATGAGATGTTTGTACAGAGTCCAACAGCATGAGCTAGTAAATGTCTTTATGAGATCTGTGTTCTACTCCTTTGACCAGAGGTTATTTGAGATTTTAAGCACAATAATGTTCATCATGTCATCCTTTGTAAGAGCAAAGTGTTAGAGACAGTCTAGAATCGGACAATAAGGATGATTAAAGTATGTGTAATAAAAATGATGGGATGTCAGGAAGCCACTACAAGTCATATTTTTAAAGACTATTTAATGACATGAAAGCATAATGTAGTACAACTAAGACGAAGATATTTCTATACCCATTTTTGTTTAAAAATGCAGAGGAAAAATATACTAAAATGTTAATTGTTACCAATGAGTGAATTTTTAAAAATTGATTTTTTTGAAAATATTATAATTTGCATGAATTTTATAGTAAAAATCACTTTGAATATATTTTGAATTTGTTGTACTTGAATTTAAGTAAGTGAATAAGTGAGCTCAAATTTACAGCTCCACAGAGAACAAAAGCTTCTTTTGATCCCCTTTTAAACAAATTTCATTGACTCATATGGAATCATCCAAAACTTTTTATTTAAAGTCTATACCAAATACTTAGTTAACTATTTAAAATTGTTAGATTTCTTGTGGTATTGGAATGTAATTAGGTTAAATGTAGAGTATATCTTTTACTCAGGAAAGCTATCTGATTCTTTTTTTAAAGTAATTGCTTTCTTTGTAAGAGCATTTCACAAATATTTCTACCTATTGAATCATTTTTAAATTAACACTTGTAATTCTTTTTCCTTTCTAGTTTCCTGCCTGTGATGGTTCACATATTAAACACAATGAATTGACAGGAGATAATGTGGGCCCGCTAATACTGAAGAAGAAAGAAGTATAGTAGTAGTGAATTAGGATTAAATTCAGTGGTGTGCTGTAAAATCTTATAATGTTATTTTTTCATTCTTTGTGTATAGGTCTTTCAAATGGTGGTCTTAATTATTACTACTGATTGAGTAATTGTTTGTGCCAATTTATTTTCTTGCTACAGTACTGTTTATATTTGATATTCCATATACTCAATCATTTATATAGAAATTAAATTGTGCAACCCTTTTATTATTATGTCAAAGGATTAATGTATCTTTCTACAATAAAACCAACACTTCTGATTTTAATTAATTGAGAAAAATATAAGTTTTAGGCAATGAATCCAAAAGTATTTCTTTGAATATCAATATTTTTCAACGGAATGTGTAATTTAAATTTTTCTCCCTACTCTATTAAATATGTTATTTTACAGTTCTCTTAGGTTTTGATTATTTGAAGAGTTTGTTTATTTTCCAGTCTTCTACCCTCCATTCTTTTAAGATTAATAAGAAAAATATTGCTATCAAGAATTAGTTGAGTTTTCAAAGAGGTAAAAACTCTTTGCTTTATAGAGATTGTTGACTAATAAATATAAATATCCCCATTTCAGGAAAGACATGAACTGGATATAAAAAGTTCCAACAAGGAACACTTATTTACATTAGACAAGTTGTATTTACTTTGCAGTAGGCTTGTTTGCATCTGTTTAGGCAATGCTGTGTATCTTGAACCATTTGACTCATTGATGGGGTGGAGTGGCAGGAACACTTACACCTCAACTCCTGAGCTGCTGAAATGTGAAGGTCAATTAGAAATAAACATTAAAATAATAAGTAGTCATCGAAATTGTGTTTATGTGAACATTTTCCTCTTTATAACAGTGTAAACCAATAAACAGGATACAGAGTTTGCAAAATAAACTTACTGGAGAATCTTTAAAATTTTTGTAATTTTTTAGCCTGAGTCTATTTAGTTTTATTTTATATTACAGTTCTTATATATTATTAGCTTTTCTTAAGTCTGTCTATTTAAAGGTAGAATCCAGTTGGTTCACTATGCCATTTTTATATATGATGAAGGTACAGGAAGGAGGTAGATGTATGTAATTCTTCTGCCAATTAGAATTGAAGCTAATAGTTATTGAGCACTTATACATACCAAACACTGCACCAAGCATGGTACCTGGATTTTTAATTTATTACATGTAATGTCAATAGGTTCTGTCGTGTGATCCTGACTTTTACATGAGCAACATCAGGAATTTTAAAGTTAGGGTTAGTTGTGTTTTTGAGAAGTTTTACAAGGTATAAGTCCAACATTGTTGTTACTCTTCCCTCACCTGTGAGGAGGGATAAATATAACATTGCTGTCACTTTGATTCTGGGTATTTTTTCCTGAGACCTTTTCTTCAACAGCCCTAATGGTGCTTCACTGTCAGATGAACCATTTATTTTTACACAGTTGGTCACAAGACTTTGGGAAAAATCCTCCTCACCAAGAGTTTGAATAGCCTGGTCTGTGCTCCATTTTTAAATGCTTTTCTTTAAAATCATTCACTGTGACTCACAGCAAAATGTTTACATTTAGATGTCCTAGTGGTTTCCATACTTAAATTTCATAGGAGAAGAGAAAATTGCCTAAAAAAGTGGACACTGAAATGAAATTATCAGCTTTAAAATTTTGTCAAATTTAAGAACATTTAACAAATTGAAAAAACTATCTCATAAAAGGTAATTTTCACACCCCAAAGGTAAGAAGGTACCCTCTCAGCAAAGCCCCCCCACCACTCACATTTTTCAATTGTTTCTGGTGAAGAGTTGTACCCAAATATTTTTCCCACCTGTGCAAATTTTTCAGCAGCCTGGGGCTGGTAGCAAAATTGTTTTAATGATATGTGTTATGATTACTTGCTATCATTTCTGCTTGTAAATTCACAGAATTCTATCATTTCTTAAAAAATAGACATTTTATAAGCAACTGCATCTGATTTAATACAAGATAACTTAGCTCTGGAAATACACTATACATCTTGGGTTTTAAAACCTTCAAGAAACAGCCCTTGTTACTACGTCTCATGATTGTTTTGAGAACTGCTTCTTGCCCAGCAGATACTCATTGCCTTACTCAGCAAATGAGCACCGCCAGTATGTAAATAGGTATCCAAAACTGTTGAGCATGCTGGCGGTATTAATGATTCATTCATATGGGTAATTAAGGAAGTTGTATGATGAAAAGCACATTACAAATCAGCTTTGAATTCAATGCCTCATGACTCATTAAATTGCTTATGTATTTTGTAACCTAATTTGTTAATTTATGCAAAGCTAATGAAGCCATCTGCTGATCTATGTAGTTCTACCTTATATAGTCTTTAGAAACATGCTATCAGACTTTTCCTCTGCAAAGGGAGTTTTACTTTCTCCAAATTCTAGTGTTCAACAGGGTTCTTAAATTATGGTGAATATATTTTTAAACATTTTATTTAATTTTGGAGTGCAGAGAATAGAAGAAGAAAAGAGAAACATCAATGTCAGAAACATCCATTGTTGCCTCTTCCAGCTGGGGACCAGGCATGCAACCCAGGCATGTGCCCTGACTGGGAATTGAACCAGCGACCTTTCACTTTTCTGGATGAAGCCCAACCCACCAAGCCACACCTGTCAGGGTGGATATTTTATTTACTACCTGCCAGAAGTGTCTAACTAATTGTCCTTCATTCATTTAGAATCCAGTTGTGACAGCATCATCAATCAATCTGTAGAAAACCAGGAGAGATGGACTAGTAATACACATGTACTTTATTCAGAAGTGATTGCCTCAGGTCCCCATATCCAGAGTCTCCTTTTTCTTACCTCATACCTGGTTGTCTGATTTCTGCTCCTGAACAAATCCCAAGTGTCTGCAGGGTCCTGTTAGAGGTAGGAAACAATATAATGTGACAGCTGACAACAGGGGAAGAGGGAACCAAAAAAAATTAAATGTGAATATAAAAAGCATAGCACCTCAGGACCATTAAATATAGGATCCTGCACATCACAGTCCCTGAGAGCATTACTGTCATCATCTTGCAGAAGTTATGTCTGATGATGTATTTGAACATAAGTATTCAAGAAGGCAGGATATGTGTTACATTTGGTGATAGCGTGCTCCACTTCAAATAGTTAAAAGCTTCGTGCTCAGAGTGGTACATACTGGTGGAAAATTTGTACAGAAAGTAGCTTGACTCATTCCTTGCTATTGGGAAGTTTATCTTGGAAGTTTTTCCATTCAGCTGAAACTCTTCAAGTTTCATGATTGTAATCCACTACAAAATTTAATTTGTTAACATATGAGGAAAACTAAATAAAGGAATAGTGATTTACACTACATCAATTGTGTTAGATGACCTCCTCCCTTTTAGGAAGGATTAAAATCCTTTTTAAAAACCACTCAGCAGCAGTTTGCTAACTGCCTTACCGCTGGCCATTGCTGTCCCTTTGCACCGGAGGTTGGAATGTAAAAAGCTCCCGTAGCTGTTTTTTGTTAGTTTGTTTGTTTGCTTTTTTTTTTTTAAGCTATGTTACATTATCACAGGTTGTGTTTTGGCCCTAACAGTCTTTTACTGGAAGCTCATTTCCTTTCATGTTCATACAATATAATTTTACCTTTTGCTTCAGTTTTGTAAAATCATGTATAGCAATCATTATTTTAATATAAAAAGTAGACAGCCCTTATAAGTTATTAGCAATTGTATTATGCAGTTTTATATTAGTTACGGTTTTGAAGAATATTGCAAATCTTAGGCATATCTCTGTCTTTTGGTCAGAAGACATCATTCTCTAACTCCTCCTTGATTTAAGTGCTTGATTCTTTGCTTATAAAAAGAGTATACCTGTGATTCTGCTCTCATAGAGCACTGTTGTCAAATAGGTCAGCCACAATGTTAACAAATTCCTGATCTGTATTATAAGGGTGTAATTTTCCAAGACAATATAGAAAAGGGAAACAGGGTAATAAATTGCATAATTATAGAGATGAACACTATACTGGTATGAAAATAAGAATGTTAACAAACAATTCACTAAATTTTTAATTTCTTGTAATTTTCCATTAGTATTCATGCATTCCTCTACATTATCACAATAAATATAGGAATCAATAACACCCATTCAACAAATTCAAGAAACTCAGAAGTACAGAGTTTTCAACTATAGTTGAATTCAGCCTAGAAGTGAAATAAAATGAAAACAGGAATGTGTTTACTTTAAAATGCTGTGTGAAACTGTATAGCAACACACTGGAAAAGCTAGAGGAAATGCATAGTTTCCAAGAAAAACATAAATGATGGAAAGTACCCCAAGGTGAAATTTAAATGTTAATGGAACAGTATCAAATAAGAATGGAAAAGTGATTTTTTAAAAAATCCATAATTCCAGACCAAAGGGGGGAAAAGATGGCTCAAACAGAATTGAAAGCCTCACAATCAGTACTTTTAAGTGACTAAGAGATAGCCAACCTGTCGGATGCACAGTTCAAAGCACTGGTGATCAGGAAGCTCACAGAATTGGTTGATTTTGGTTGCAAATTATATGAACAAATGAAGGCTACAATAAGAGAGATGAAGAAATATGCACAGGGAACCAATAGTGATGGGAAGGAAACTGGGACTCAAAACAATAGAGAAGACCAGAAGAAAGAAAGAAACAATCAAACAGACAAGAATGGAGAAATAAGAATTCAAAAAAATGAGAAGCTTAGGAACTTCCAGGACATCTTTAAACATTCCAACATCTGAATTATAGGGGTACCAGAAGGAGAAGAGGAAGAGCAACAAGTGGAAAACTTATTTGAACAAATAATGACGGAGAACTTCCCCATTCTGGCAAAGGAAATAGACTTCCAGGAAGTCCAGGAAGCTCAGAGAGTCCCAAAGAAGTTGGACCCAAGAAGAAACACACCAAGGCACATCATAATTACATTAGCCAAGATGAAAATTAAGCAGCAAAAGATAAGGAGACAGTTACCTACAAAGGAGTTCCCATCAGACTGTCAGCTGATTTCTCAAAAGAGACCTTACAGGCAAGAAGGGGCTGCAAAGAAGTATTCCAAGTCATGAAAGACAAGGACCTATATCCCAGATTACTCTATCCAGCAAAGCTTTCATTTAGAATGGAAGGGCAGATAAAGTGCTTCTCAGATAAGGTCAAGTTAAAGGAGTTCATCATCACCAAGCCCTTATTTTATGAAATGTTAAAGGGACTTATCTAAGAAAAGAAGATAAAGAAAAAACATGTATAGTAAAGGGACAGCAAACTCACAATTATTAACAACCACACCTAAAGCAGAACCAAAAGAAACTAAGCAAACAACTAGAACAGGAACAGAACCACAGAAATGGAGATCACATAGAGGGTTAGCAACAGGGGAGTGGGAGGAGGAGAGAGGGGGAAAAGGTACAGAGAATAAGTAGCATAGATTGTAGGTAGAAAATAGACAGGGGGAGGGCAAGAATAGTATGGGAAATGTAGAAGCTAAAGAACTTATGACCCATGGACATGAACTAAAGGGGGGTAATGTGGGTGGGAGAGGGTGTGCAGGGTGGAGGGGAATGAAGGTGGGGTAATGGGACAACTGTAATAGCATAATCAATAAAATACATTTTTAAAAAACTCCATAATTAAACCATAATTTAAAAAGTGCTAGGATTGCAAGAAAGATGATTCCAATGTTATTTAAACAATATCAATTGCTTTTAAAAGGAGAAACTCCCCAATTAATTTCATTTGGCTTGTACAACATTAGTATGAATTAGCTGAAAAACAAAAGACAAAAAAATCCATAGACCGACGTAACTTATACATATGGATGAAAATATTAAATAAAAACATAGCAACTTTTGGTCAAGATGGCAGCATAGGCAGACATGGCTTGCCTCTTTGTACAACCATATCAAAATTGCAAC